ATATATAGAATATATATATAAACATATATATATATATATATATATATACATATATATTATTATATTATTATATTATTATATTATTATTATTTGTTTACAATAGTTTATTTATGACTCTCCTAATGTACATATGTTTCTAAGTTAGTTACAACGTCCTGATTGCCACGAGTATTAACCCTGTGATGCCAGAATGGGTGTTGTATATCTGAGGCAGGTCGATCGTACTAGTACTTAGCGCTCTTGGGCCCACGAGGCCAAGTGTTGAATCAGAAGGATGCGACTGACCTATGTGTGGGTAACTACCGGTAGTGGAGCGGGGCTGGCTTGATTAGTAATATATATTTACATGGTCCTGTTGCCTTTGGCGATTGGCGATGAGTAAGCTTATTATATAAACTGACATCCAACTTCGCAAACGGAATTCAAGATTATATTTATCTAAATATATATATATATATTCATATTTTTATATTTATATATATATATATATATATCTATATATGAATATATATCTATATCTATATCTATATCTATGTCTATGTCTATGTCTATGTCTACACGCACACGTGTGTATATACACACGTACATATGTGAGCGTATACGAATTTGGATGCGCATTAATACATATGTGTATATGCATGTTTGTATATATTGTGAGTTTATGCAAGTGTTGTGTGTGTCTGCGTTTTGTTATGCGTTCTTGATTTATTGAATAAGTAGTTTTTGTTTTTCTCTTATTGTATATAGTTTGCGTTTGATCGACCTGTGAAGTGTGCTTTATAGTAATACTTGTATGTCATCATACACGTACACGGCTGTCTCAGTATACGAATACAGCGTATTGCTTGTTTTGTATCTTCTATTTGTATCAGATGATATAAAAAGCCCAGACCTAATTCATACGCATAGTTAGAATAGAGTACGTTTCTCTATTTGCGCTCTACACGTGTGCCTATGATTAAAATCAAAAAACTACTGGGGCATGGACAGTTGACTCTCTAAGACATTGTGTACATTAAGTTACTTGTATCATTATTTCGCTGATAGATTGCCTATAGATTTAAAGGCTACGCTCAGATGTGCTCATCTCCGATCTAAAGCATGCTATTTTATCCGAAACGTTGTTAATACATATCAAAAAAAACTATATTTCTTGCGTACGTATATATATATATGTACTGCTTTCGAACCCCCTTATCTTCTCAACTATATTGTATACACTCGACGTGAATTTGATCAATTTAATACACCTGCATCATATCTTTGATTTATTTGACACACTGTGTTTACCAGCGTGTAAATATCCTTTCCGTGAACGAAGGGAGGTTCAGGTATTTGGGTGTAATAAATGTAGCAACTTTGAATCAAAATGTACATTATGAACCTGTATAAACCTATAGCCAATGGAAAATTATAACCCATTTATCACTGTGTCGTCCATATTGAAAGAAACCGGAAGTGAATCAAGAAGGATAAGACTGAACGATATTTTATTTATAACCATTCAGAAGGGCAATACTTTCTCGTAACGTATGGTACGTTAACTCCAGTCCCCTTACAAGGACTGCACTACACTACCGATGTCGGGGCGTGCATCCTGTACTCGGCTTATTAGTCGAGGTTAATTAGTTTCTGCATCTCCTTGTATTCAAAGGTGCCAATGGCGGTCTTGCTCTTGCGACGCTCGCGGACCTCAATCTTGTTGCCCTGCTCCAGGTGAACCATTACTTCGCGCGTCATTACACACTGGTCGTGCTCGTTGACCTCCTCAGAGAACGTACGCAGGAGCAGATTTCCGTGGTTGTCTGTGGCCTCACTCTCAGGAGGCGCGAACACCGTACACTTACCGTTGCTGACCAGCAACTTGTCCTTAGAGTGGATGTCCTTCACAATTTTGCCTACGTTGTCCTTCACAACGCTGCAGATTCCTTCGAAGTTGTCGAGATATGCATCATTAGTTGAACACATGGTCATCAAGGTCGAAGATCCGTCATTCTCAGCGAGATCGGTGTAACTCGACTTGCGGCGCTGCAATCTAAAGGGCTTCGCCGAAGTCGAGGTAGAGGATGCCATCTTGAATGATCTTTTGGGGGGAGGTTATTTAGCTTTCAAAACTTTTAGTTCTGTATTGAGTACAACCTTGTGCACAGTGCTTTTATACACCTGGGATCGTCCTCACGGACACCCGTTATTAGCATTATATAGAACTATTTCTAGGAAGACCGAACAATTCTGGGACTATATCTGGCTGACGGGCCCCTCACAGTCACTGACTCACAGCCAATTCGAGAACAGAATCTGTCCACGAAAGTTTCCCAACTGGGACGCCACCGTCTGTCCCATCAGCTGATTACCCAAAAACGGACGTATTTCATTGCAACATAGTCAGTATTCCACTGTCATGGCTTTTCCGCTGATGGACTATGACGCTCAAAATACGCACTGGTTATGGCTTCTAATTGGACTTCCCGTTATGGCTTTTTGGAGTAAATGCCGTCCGGTCTTACTCTCATATATCAATTGCAGTGAATCTGGATTAACGAATCATCATTCAGGACAACTGATGACACAAGTGATTCAGATTTGGAAACTTGAAATATATATATATTGTTTTGTTTTTTAAACAAAAATATTAAAAGTACTAAAATCATGGACAGCTGCGGCTGCGCCTGACCCCGGTCCTGAAACAGGCCCTCGGGAGCCCAGCTGTTCGCGACGGTCCCGACTCCCGACAGTCTAAAAATATATATTTATAGGACTCTATTATTTTTACCCGTTGGAGTTCAGGCTGTTCGAACTGGCTACTCGGGTTTTAGCTTTTCCTCTCTCCGATTTTAGGCCTTCAAGACAACTTCAGATTTTTAAGTTTTGTCACCATTTAGGGCTAGATTGACACCTGTAGAGATTTGTTGGGGCTAGTTTTGATAGGGAATTTTTGAGAGAACACAGGGTTTATTTTGGATTGTTTTGATAGAGTACTTGTAGTACGTAATTAAAAACATACATTTTCGGACTATGATACTCTTTGTTTTTAAGCGAAAAATATAAATATACTTTTATAGAAATACTGTACAATTCTGAGGGCTACCCTACTACACAATCTACATAGTAAATAGTAGTACTTTTAGTAGTAAATACATAAGTGGCCAGTGGCTACTGGCCAAGCCTCAGAGAGACGATATTGCCGACAGCCTACAGGGCTACAGCCTACAGATACAGCAGGGCCGTCAGTCCGTCACTGTCACTCATGGTGGGTCACATTACCACAGTGGTTAAATAGTATTTTTACTCTATGTGCGAGACTGCGAGACTGCGAGTCGCATTGCTCAGACATTCACACCAATGCTCAACTGCTCACTGCAGGATCCAGAGCCCATGAGTTCTGACTCCTTCGGCCCTTCGACCTGAGTCCTGAGTCCTGAGGGCTGATGGCCGAATGGCTGAGGCGCTTGAGGCTAAAAATCTGAGAGACGACCGAGACTTGAGACTGAGAGCCTGAAGTCCTGAAGTCCTGATTCCTGAACGCCCTGAAGATTGAGGGCTTCTGAGGCCCTGAGCCTTGAGCCTTGAGGGCTGAGGCTAAGTTTTGAGGTTCCTTACCTGACCAGAATCAATGTGATCTTCCATTAAAAAATATAAAGTCCCAGGAACTCAGCTTTCTAGAATCCTCTATTGTAATCTTATTTGTCGTTGAGACGTATCAATATCTCGAACTATTCCGTCGGTTCACTATTTCTGAACCCTTTTTTTTTTGAATTTTTACCGTGCATTATTAACAATGAAGTCCGTTTTTGCTTTTGTACAAAACAAACATAAATAAAACCATGAAAACAATATCAATTCCTGTAGGTCGGGGCGCCGGACTGTAAATATGTATTTTTGTTTTATAAAAATGTATTGTGGAGTTTGGACTCAGGAGTGTCAGAACTCAGGACCAGCTCAGGCTTTTTTTTAAACCGCACTGTTGACAGTTTTCTGCGCACAGCGCAGTTCGCAACTCTCGAAAGCCACATAAAAGCCAAATGTTATTCAAAAATCACATTCACCACTATAGAGTAGAGACTATAGAGTAGACTATAGACTATAGAGTAAACTGTATTAGTCTGTAACAGCGAACTATAATAGTAAATATAATAATATGCAGTATACACTATACAGGATACAGTATATACTACAAGACAGACTATAGTCTATACTCTATAGTCTATACTCTCGCTTATCAACACTAAAAATAAATTTACACTCTATAGTCTATACTCTATACCCTCTCTCTATATAGTAGTGAGCGTATAGAGTGTATACTGTATACTGTATAGGGTTAATATTATTTATTTCAGAAATGGCAAGTATGTATGATACAATGTATGAACATATGGTATGGCTCTCATAGTCGCTGTAGTGGTTCAGGAAAGATTGATGGGAAGAAGTTGTATACGTACAGAGAGTCAGAGACCTTGGAGTCTTAGACAAGTCTTTAGGATTGGATGCAGAGTCTGCGACTCTACGTCTTTGTTCTATTATTTTGTTTCGTTTTATATAAAAAATATAACAGTGACTTGCCACTAAAAGACTAAAAGTAGATATTGCAGCTCCTGTCCTAATATAAGCTCTGATAAATACTGTATTTTGCCTTTTCACTCTTGGGCTCTCACCCAGAGAGTAGTTTAAGTTTGAGGTTTCCCTCTATGCGATTTTTTTTTGGATGTTTTCAGGTCTCTTGTTCTGTCCTATAATTCTTTGTTTTTATAAAAATAAATGAAGACCAGCTGGTCTAGCCGGGGCCCAGAGGCGAGGGTCCCAGGCCGGGCCGCCAGGACTCCAGGAGTCCTCCTTCCAGTGAGGAGTCACTGAGGACTGAGGACTGAGGATTTAAAATTAAAATTAAAATAACCTCTGGGCCCTAATCTCTCTACAGTAGAGAGAGCCTAAGCTTAATCCGTTAATGGATTACAGAATAAAAGTTGAACGGAAACTTATACTGATTCGTTTTGAAAACGTTAAAAAGGTTTCGCAGGTCAAAATAGAAAACGAAATTCTCAAATTTGCACTCAACATGTAAACCTAAATTCTAACGAAATGGATTATATGGCAAATAGAGACCAATGAATATCTCGACTGACAGGCTGGCCCGCCGGGTTTAAGACAAATTGATGGCCTGGAAATTGCACCATTTCAAATTCCATAGGGCTATAAACAGAATAAAAGTTGAAATGAAACGTTTCCCGATTCATTTTGAAAAAGTTAAAACGGGAACTGAATGAGGTTAGGAGGGAGCTCTCAGAGGTTAGGAGGGAGCTCTCAGTCTCAGACCTCTGGTCTCTTCTGGTCTCTGGATAGGCTGATAGGGTCTCGAGCGGAAATCAAAGTTATGTCGTAGCGGAAATCGAAAATTTAGCAGAGACACAAATCCAGAGGGCCGTGACTATTTGTATATACTATTTTTTTTTACAAAATCACACTAATACATATTTACTAGTAAATACTAAATATGCTAGGCTTGCACCTTTAGGCTTGGACAACGGGGCTGTATTTGGCCTTGGCCAGCGTCATATTCCTAAATTTAGACGAAAAATCGTCATTTTGTACCTCAATATATTTTTATATTTTTATCACTAAAAGCTTTAGCTATTAAGTCCCTCAGAACTTTATTTATTCCAAATAAGTAATTAAATGTAGCTTTTTATGCCCATTTGAGACCCTGTTCATGTACATACCAGCAGTGGAAGAGAGAAACGTTGAGGTTTGCTATAGAGAAAGAAGTACATGCCACAGTGTATGTGTAGCATACGTGGCTGTATACAAGAAGGTGACAGATATATTTTACTAGTGAAGTCAGTCAAACCTAATAACAAAACGCTCATAAAGGAGGCTGATGCACGCGCTCAAGATTGGCTGCACAGCGTACAACCAGGTATTGCATATGATGCTATAACGAAGGCCTTTTAAAAGAGATATGGAAAGAAAACCCATGCTGCCATCAATGCCAAACACTTTCCTCTAGACGAGTTGACCTTCAAGGGTAACTGGCAGATCGCGGCATACATCAACGCCAAACATTTTCGTGAATTTCAATGGACAAAAGATTACCAGTTAGATCGAGTCACCAAATTACAGTCACACAAGCAACAAGTTGTTAAATGCATATGTTTCTTGGGAGTGAAATAAATGCAGCGAAAACATAACGTTCGAGAATGGTCACGACCTACCCCGTGATAAGAAACGTGCAAAACTCTGGATATCACGTGTGTGTTGTTTTAGACGTTAAGCTACAACGTAAACAGAACAAACAGATTGAGGATACTGACGGTTAAACAGGCTTACACGTGTATAGAAGACATTTTTCACCAGATAAGTTCAGATAATACACCAAGCAAGAAACGCAAACGTGTAACGCTAAAAGGAGATGCTGTACCTACATTTAGAGTAGTAATTTCTACTGTTATGAATGCTCGCAAGAGTCCGACTAAATGAACAGAGCGCCACGAGATACAGAGCTCAGTGTAAGATTTGGTCTAATAAAGACGATACTAATGCCTTAGAATAAATAACCGCGTAGGTAAATTCTATATATCGTGTAAATATCGATATAAATAAACGAAATGAGATGTTTAATAAAGTTAGGTTTGCCTCGTGAAAACAGCAATACTCTGAGGGATTGTGAGGCTGAAAAATTGCCTATATATAATCCTCTCAGTACTGTTTTCGCCGAAGGGATTTTATTTAGTGTTACGTCGTCGCTCACCTCTGGGGCGAATCCGAGAGACTCATAAAATCCCATCTTTAGAAAAATTAAAATTAAAATTAAAATACTCTTGACGTCTTTAGTTATTGTCTTAACCAATAACTTGATTACCGACTTAGCCTTCATCAGACTGGCACATCTGATTGGCTTATCAGAGGATCAACTAGGTAACGTTAATAGTCCCTAGAAACCTATATTCGATTGAGCCATCTCGCTACCGAAGTATTCCGATATAAATAAAATTGGAAAGTAAATAAAGCTCTACTAATAGAACTCGACCAACTCTTTTATGTTTGGTATTTTACTGAGGCCTTTTAATGGCCTCATCCAAATATCTGATATGTTAAATGGAAAAGGTTTAATTAATAAAACCATTAAAAACCATTTGAGGAAACTTAAGCTCCTCGTGCTATTAAGAGCACATTTAGGAGACTTAAGTTCCTCGTACTATTAAGAGTACATT